AGGTGCTTTAGACCACTGAGCCATTTCACCAGCCCAACTGGGATAATTTTGAAAGAGCATCCGTGTAGTTCTTGCCTCTACTGGACAAAGAGCTCTGAGCATCTGGCTCACCTCACTTTTATTTACGTGAGACCTGGGGGCGAGCAATTAGGGTAGCAGAAGATTCATCTGCCTGCTGTTCTCTGTGGTACATGCCCAGGTAAACACCTAGATCTCAGCTGTGCGACTCTTCCCCAGGTCACCATGCTTGCAAGGTGCAAGCCTGCCTGCATGGTGCCAAAGGAGCACAGCTTGCTGCTTTTCTTCTGTGTGCTGCAGAGAAGGTCAGTTAGGCCTTGATCTTCGTTATCCGGTCTCTTACAATTAGAAGAAAGGACACTGTGGTGGAGATGTAGCTCAGTGGTAGAGCACTTACCTACTATGTTCAAGGCCGTAGGTTCCATCTCCAGAAATGGAAGAAGAGAGGAAGAAAAAGAAGGAAAAAAGTGTGTTACACACACACACACACACACACACACACGCAGAGAGAGAAGAGAGACAAGAATTAATTTCTTCCTTTCTAATCATCACCATTTGGGGGCCTGGCCCTAGCTCAGTCCTTTAAGTGGCTGCTTCCACAAAGCTGTCAGCCTCAGGTTCCTGGAGTTCGAACCTCACAACTCTCCAGCTGGCCAAAAGTGCCCTGAAGGCATTCAAGGAAGAAAAAAAAAAATAAAACCCTCTAATCAGCACCATTTAATAAGAAAAATCACTCAGCTTATGCAGACAATAAGGGAACTTTCGGAAGCTGAAAACCCAAGATTGAGTATTCTCATTGATTTGGTCTCTAGTGAGGGCCTAATGGTAGTGATAACAGGACAGAACATGTGGGATTGGGAAAGATCACATGGAAAAACCAGAAGCACAAGAGACTGGCTGGGACCAGGCTCTGGGCAGGCAAGCTGGCTGGCTTTCTTTCTTTCTTTCTTTCTTTCTTTCTTTCTTTCTTTCTTTCTTTCTTTCTTTTTTCTTATACTGGGAATTAAACACAGAGCTTTCACATTGAGCCCCCATCACCCCCTTTTTTAGACAGAGCTTCATTATGTAGTTCAAGCAGGCTTTGAACTCAGTACGTAGCCCCAGGCTGGCCTCAAGCTCTCAGCAGTCCTCCTGCCTCAGCCTCCCAACTGCTAGGACTATGGGTATAAGCCACCATGCCCTGCCACCACCGTTTTATTGAAACAGGTTTCACTATGTTGATTAGGCTGCGCTGGAACTTGTGATCTTCCTGCCTCAGCCTTCCACCATGTCCTCAAATCCTCAGCCAGGGCTGAGTTTCCAATCTTCCAACTAATCTTGGTGTTCACTCTCCCCCAAAATTCATGAGGTTAGAGGAAGCTACTTTGCTTCTCCTACCAACTGAAATTTAACTGAGGAAGTCTCCCGCCCACACTCCCTCGGGATTTTGACAGAATTCACATCCTTGTGACTGTAGGACTGAACAGCCCAGCCACTTGCCTGATGCTGGCTGGAAATCTGCCTTTCAGGTCCTTGCCACAATCACGGTCACTTCTTCTAAGCCATCGAGGCCTTCCTGTTATGCCTTGGATCTAGATGTCCTCCCAAAGTCTCATTTGGTCATAGGTGGGAAGTTTTGAAGGTGGCTGGATTAGTGTGTGAATGTAGATTAGCGCATGATGCTGGGATTAAGGATGTCCCATCCTGGGTGTGGCTAGCACCAATGAATAGGTTTACAGTTTAGATGGAATATAAAGTGAGGAAGAGAAGGCAGGCCAGAGGCTTATTCTGCTGCTGCTGCTGCTGGTGCTGCTGGTGCTGCTGCTATTCTCCTTGCTACTTGCTGCATCCTGCCTGTCCTGCTTGGCCATGTTTCTCTTCTGTGACACCCCTCTGCCATGCCACCTGCCTGGGAGCCAGCCATAACCTGAAACCTCTGCAAACTGTGAGCTAAAGCAAACCACTCCTCCTTTAATTTCAGATGTTGGGTTTTTTTGGCTCAGTGAGAAAAATAATTAAGGCATAACCCAAAGAACGTGACTGATCCTGGGTTTTGGACCAAAGTAGGTGTTGTTTGTTGAGACAGGGCCTCGCTATGCAGTTCAGGCTGGCTTTGACTTCACCGTATAGTCTAGGTTGGCCTCAAAATTAAGGCAATGCTGAGCCTCCTGAGGGCTAGGATTATAGATGTGTGCCACCACATTCAGCTTCAAATTAGGTTCTAGAGTCATAAGGCTGGCTCTCCCTTGGACCGGAATCCTTTTTGGTTTTCGTTTTTTGTTTTGTGGAACCAGAGATTGAATGGACCTGGATCCTGGCAGCTCTTCCCTGGGGCACTGGCTGGAGTCACTGAGAGATGAGGCAAGCTCTTGCCTCTGCCTAGTGTTTGGTTCCTTTTATTTTGCATGTGTGCGTTTTTGAGACAGGGTTTCACCATGCAGTTCACGCTGGCCTTCAAAACACTTTGTAACCCAGGCTGACCTTGCACACACAGTAATGCCCAAGTGCTGGGATTACAGGTATGTAGTCATGCCCGTTAGCTTTTTTTTTTTTGGCAGAACTGGAGATTTAACTCAGGCCCTTGTGTTTGCCAGGCAAGTGCTTATTCTACTGAGCTATCTCCCCGACCCCTGCTAGCTTTTTAAAACTTTTTAAAGCTTTAAAAACTTCAACATTGACAGGGGCCAAGGGTTGGATCCCAGGGCCTGCCATGCCAGCCCCGCCCCCAGGGTGCCCTGAAATGGCAATTGGGACTGGGCATGGTGGCACACGCCTGTAATCCCAGCTCTTGGGAGGCTGTAAGCAGGTGGACCACTATGAGTCCAATCTAGTAGTGAGACCCTGAACACCCTGTAGACTTTTCAAAAAAAAACAAAAAAAAAAAAAAAAAAAAAAAAAAAAACCACTTCAACATGGAAGTCTGATTTTCTCATCTTTTCTTAAACTTTTTTTTCACTTTAATAACATTACCACAGTTGGGTGCAATGATGCATGCCTGTAAGGCCAGCCACAAGGGAGGCTGAGGCAGGAACATCCAAAGTGCAAGAGCGGTCTAGACAACACAGTTCAGTTTTCAAATAAACTCTGGTCTTAGAAAAAGGAGATGTAGGCCAGGGAGATAGCTCAATGGCATAAGCGCCTGCCTGTTAAGCACAAGGTCCTGAGTTCGATCCCCAGGACAAGAAAGAGGGGGCGGATGTTAGGGTGTAACTCAGCAGCAAAGCAGTGGTCCAGTTTGAGCTCCCTGGCACCCCTCCTCACCAAATCACCCTTACCAACTTTCCTTCTGTAGCGGTTGTTACATTGTGTCAACTTGGCCGGATTACTCCGCGGTCCGCTTCCGGCTGGTGGGGGTCCTGCCCTGGGGCACAATTCGTTCTGCCCTCAATTGTGACTCAGCACAAAGAGACCCTATAAAGGGGCTGAGGAAGTAGTCAATGTTCCACTTTGTCAGAGGAACTTCAGTCTTCGCATTTGGCTTGGACTTCATCGCCTGGCGTGCAGCGCAGTCTCTTCCGCCTCCGGCTTGGATCCTTCACCTTCCCTGGTAGACTTCAGCGTCCTGTCGTCGCAGACCCAACAGCTGACGGCTAGAGACTTTCATGGAGCACAGCAGTAAGCTTCAGACCTTGGGACTGAACTCCTCAGTCTGGGGTGTGCAGACGCCCTCTGTACACTCCCCCATCTGACTCTGCGGCTTACTGTCCTGAGCCAATCTTGGAATTCCTTATACATTATATATCTTGTGCTAATATCTGTTCCTTATATTATATCTGTTCCTCTAAGTAAAACCCTGACCAATACATCTTCCCTTGCAGAAATGTCTCTGATTGTGTAGAAAATGTTCTGATCTGACAATGCGTTTTTAGTTAATTTGTTTGAGATGTTAACAATTGACCATGATATCATTTGACCAACTGGGTGTTGAGACCTGGGCGTCCCTGGTGGCAAGGGCAAGCCCGGGATTTGAGGCTCAGCGAGGGAACCCCGATCATGGCATTGCACGGGTCTGGTGCTCCACCTGGACCAGCTGTCCCAGCCCTGCTACACCTGTCTACATCTTTGTCAAGAAAACACCATCCCGGGCCAGCCAGTTCACTCAGCAAACTAAAGCGCCTGCTTAGGAGAGCACAGTGGCCGGGTTCAATCCCCAACTTGACTTGCATGCAGGCCTGGCCACCCCAGCACGCTGAGATAGCGATGGAGACTGGGCGAGGTGGTCATGCCTGTAAATCCAGTGCTTGGGAGGCTGAAAACAGGAGGATCACTACGAGTCCGATCTACATAGTGAGACTCTGTAGACCCTGTACTAAATACATGAAAAGAAAAAAAAAAAAAAAAAAAAGAACACACCATCACCTCCGGCTGTGCACTGTGGAGTTTCTTGCAGGTGGGCCAGGTCTTTATCTTCCGCATTATTCTAAAGGTGGAGAAACCGTAGCCAAGAGAAGGGAAGAAACAGATTCAGTGCTGAGCGCTGAACAGTGCTGTCCCCTTATGGCGGAACTTAATCGTATGAGAGGGCTTTCTGGGAAGTGACTCAATGAGGAGGCTCTCCCTTCGTGAACAGAACTACTGCCTCATAAAACAAGTGGAAGCCGGCTGTGGTGGGGCACACCTGCAATCCCAGCATTCTGGGAGACCGTGGCAGGAAGATTGCAAGTTCAAGTCCAGCCTGTCAGACTGTCCAGCAACTGTCAGACTTAGCAAGACCTTGTTTCAAGATAAGAAATGAAAAGGGCTGTGAGATGCCAGGGCATGCCATGGGAGTGGCGCGAGGGAGCACGTAATGCTCAGCACAAGCCCTGCAGCTTTGCCACTCGGCGGCAGCGAGGTCTCAGGAGTGTTGATCTAGGAGGATGCAGTCTCCAGCTAGGATTTCTGGGTCTATCATCACATAGTTCCTCAGTTTCCTCGTCTGAGAAACGGGGGCGATAAAAAATTCTGACATATGCCAGGAGAGATCTGTCCCTCGAAGATTTACGCTAAGTCAAGCCAGTTTGCACCTGTCTCTGTGCCCCTGAGCCAAGGCGGTTAGGTTCAGACTCCCGGAGTCCAGCCCCTCGGACACACCCCTCGCCCCCACCAATTAGAGCAAAGCACCCTCGGGGCGGCGCTCCGGGCGTGTCCGCGCCTGGCTTGCTTCGAAGGCCCAGACCCGAGACCCTGCGCGGGAGTTTTTGCAGTGTTCCGCAAGTTAGCGAGTCTGGTCCCGCTCTCTCCGTCATGTGCCTGGAGCTTTACCTGGACCTGCTGTCCCAGCCCTGCCGCGCCATCTACATCTTCGCCAAGAAGAACGGTATCCCCTTCCAGCTGCGCACCGTGGAGCTGCGCAAAGGTGGGCCGGGCCTTAGGCCTAGGGAAGGGGCGAGGGGGCGGCCGACAGTTTGGTGGCTGCTCCTCGCACCACCCTTCCCAGGGGCCATCAGGGGCCGGGTTTGGAGACTAAGAGAGCGGCGAGCCTCTGGGGAGCTCCAAGCCTGGGACACCTCCGAACTGTGCAGTGCACGGAATGAACACTGGGGGCTCCACTGCAGCCAGAGGACTGGCAGGCAGAGCGGAGAGAGCCAGACCTGGTGAACAGAAATGGGTGTAATCTGCACCGTGGGACGAGGGCCTGCAGAGATGAGATGGGGTCTGGAGGACAGGGGGTAGGGGACCAAGTGTGGGGGCTGGGACAGAATCAGCCCCCGTGTTTGTGACGCTCTGCGCTTCGCCGGCAACAGGGTGAAGAGGCGGCAGTGCCCTGGGCCCCCCCTTTTCCAGCCTTGCCCTTGGCTCTATCTGCCTGTATTTATTTATTTTTTGGTTTTTTGAGACAGGCTTTCGCTCTGTAGTCCAGACTTTGAACTCAGTATGTAGCCTACATACTGGCCTCAAACTTGAGGTGATCCTCCTGTCTCAGCCTTCCAAGTGCTAGGATTACAGATGTGTGCCTCCATGCCCACCTTGCAATTATTTATTTGCTTATTTGTAGTGGGAATTGAGCTCATCCTTTTGCACAGAGCTACATTCTTAGCCTGCCTGCCTCTCTCTCTCTCTCTCTCTCTCTCTCTCTCTCTCTCTCTCTCTGTGTGTGTGTTTTGAGATAGGGTCTTGCTATATAGTCCAGATTGCTTTGAGCTCACTATGTAGCCCAAGCTGGTCTGGAACTCGTGGTGATCCTCCTGCATCAGCTTCCCGAGTGCTCGGCTTACAAGTGTGCAGCACCACTGTACCCAGCCTGTTTCTTTCATTGTACCTTACTTACCTGTCCTTACCTTACCTGTCTCTGCTGGGAGCTGTCCCTTCTCTCCCACTCCGTGGTGAACCCTGCACTCTGAGCCAGATGTTTGCTTTTTCTGTCAGACTTTTGAGGACCTCAAGGACACAGCTGGCAAGTTGAGGTCCATGCCCAGCGGGAGCGGGGTGCTCAGGGGAGAGGGCAGCAGAACGCAGGTGTTGCAGGATGTCCACACTGGGTGACTACTTGGCTAAGCCTTCCACCCAGCCCTTGCACCACCCTTTTGGCTATTGCACAGTGGTCCCCCTGCCTGACACTTGAAGCCCTCCCAGCCTTCTCTGCGGGCGTGGGGGGCTGGCTCTGCAGAGCACGAGGGGTGAGCGGATCATGGAGCTGGCTGTCCATGCAAGGGTGGAGAGAGCTGTGCATTTCACTAGGAAAGGAGGGGAGTGTATCCCTGGGGGAGGAGGGTAAAGAGAGGGCTTTATTGAGATTCTATGATTTGAGGAGCTTCCACCAGCTCCAAGAGAGCTGGGGAACCACCAAAGACTGTAGAGCAGAGTGTCACTGGCACTTGGGTTTCCTGAGAAGTGTGTTAGGCTGCATCTGCGGGGACAGAAGACATTTAGAGGAGCTGAAGCAGAGGTCCTGGTCTCAGGGCCACCGGACTGCACCTTTCAGGCGCTGCAGGTGGGTGAGCAATGAGAGTGTCCCAGAATTAGTGCAGTGGTGATCAGAAGAGCCAACATGGCACCCACAGTTTGGAGGCAGATTTGTTTACACAGAGGGGCACTGGTGGGGCTCATTCCCAGGATCATTCTCCCATCTCTGATGGTCTAGGCTTTCATGTGACGCACAAGCAGGAAGTACAAAGGAGACACAAAGGTGAGATAGAACAGCCTGGAAGTTCTTCTGATTAGCTAACAGGGTGAGATCATCAGTTACAAGGACAGATTAATGACCGTCAGTTTATGAAGCCCAGTACGATGTACAATCAGGCCCATATGTTCACTTATGCTCTTGTGGTTCCAGGAATCAAGAAAGTAATTACAAGGCCATGAAGCAGTTACAGAGCTCAGCAGTTTCAAAATAACTAAGTTTTTAAAAGGACGATTTCTCTCAAAGTTTTCCCCTTTCATTAGCAGGGCCCAAAAGCAGGGCAGGCTCTGAAGCTTCTGGGGCAGGGAGAGCAGGGGACACAGAGGGCCAGGAGAAGGTGGTGACAAGTGAGTAGAATCAGGCAAAGACTACTCTTCTGTTCACCCTCTTACTCCATAGAGGGAGGGGTGCTGTACCCAGATGACCTCCATGGGGGTTGGAACACTCCAGGTGGGAGCTCCTGAAGCAGGCAGTGGCCAGACCAAGAGTTGGTGGTGGGTGTGTGCAGGCCCAGGCACTGCCCTGTGCTCTGAGCTCTTTGGCAGGAAGGTGGTCTGTGTGTGTGGGCAGGGTTTGTCCAAGGGTGCCGAGTCTGTTTTGTACCATCTGCTCCAGCAGCCTCCTACTCTTCTGCTAGCAGCCTTTTCTCTTCAGGAGAGCGTCTCAGAGGGGAGAAGAGCCAAGAAATTGGGACCTGGGCATTGCAGGAAGTGGGCCTGAAGGCTCAGTGATCCAGTCTCACCCTTCTCATGCTGGGCTCTCCACAGGCCAGCACCTCAGTGATGATGCCTTTGCCCGGGTGAACCCCCTGAAGAAGGTGCCAGCCCTGAAGGATGGGGACTTCACCTTGACTGAGAGGTAATGGAGGCCCCTGGAGCTGCTGCCACGCCTTGCTGGAGCCATCCTGGGCCAGCCCTCTGTGTTATAGACCAATAAGCTGAAGTCCTCAGGGGCACAGGGTGCCAAAGAGAGCTGGGACTGACCTCAACCTGCCTGCTTTTCCAGTTCACTGGAATGGCTGGAAATCAGAAAGCTATGCTACCCGCATTCTTGACCTTTGGTTGTTGATGAGTATCCCTAGGCAAGGGGGAGCAGGGTAGGAAAGGGCGGCAGCTTCACCCACCAGCCCTCTGGTCCAGGTTGTGTCCAAGTGTCTTAATGCCCTCAACCCTTAGGCCACTGCAGGCTTCGCTAGGTGGGTCTCCCCTAGGGCAGAACCACCAGATATGTGGATGTTTTATATCACAGCAGGTCTCAAGAAGTTCAAACCTCCCTCATCTTGGAGAGTCAAGCCTTTTTTCAGTTCCTTTTTTTTTTTTTGCAGAACCGGAGATTGAACTCAGGCCCTTGCGCTTGCCAGGGAAGCGCTTATTCCACTGAGCCATCTCCCCGGCCCCCCTTTTTACAGTTCTGCCCCTGTGTCAGCTGGGTCACCCGCCCATACCAGACTGTATGCTTTAGAGTCTCTCTGAAGTCCAGACATGGTCCTGGGGCATCATGACGGTGCCATGCTTCCTTCCTGGTGCCTCCTGTGGCTGCCCCATGTTGAGAACCCACAGGTACCAGCCCGGGGGAGTATATGAAGCCTGCATTTCTCTTCTGTCACCCTCAAGAGGTCTGTGACTCATGGGGACCTGCAGCCCTCCTCAGAGGTGACTTGAACAAGGAAGAAGAATAATTGGGGCATTAGGCTGGGGTGTAGATGCAGGCTTCTTAAAAAGGGAGCTGGGGCAGTCAACTCTTGAGGAGCCCCAAGTTCCTGAAAGCTTTCCTATGGCCCCAACTGATACATCCCTTGTGTCCTTGGAGGTCCATCTGCGTCCTCACATCATGACAGCCCTTATAACCCAGGGCACGGAGCCAACACCATGGAACCTTGGCAACTTTGATGTCCCAAGACCCTTCAGTACCCTGGGCATTTCCTGCATGTGGTCTCGGTGCTGAGCCATCTTGTTACTCTGAACAGAGCTGATTTTTAGCAAAAAGAGTGATGTGAAGCACAAAGAGATGATGAGAAAGCCTTTCTCAATAATCAGGCCCTCTGAGGCTGGTCTGGATGCAGACTGGAAAGAATGGAGCCTCTGAAAGGCTTAGCTTGGATGCTGCCTCTTGCTGGAAGCTCTTTGGGCCTCTAATCAGAAATCATCTCTGGGGGGCCTGCCCATTAGCTCAGTTGTTTAAGTGCCTGCTCCTGCAAATGCAGTCAGGTGCAGGATACCTTGTGTTTGATTCCCACCTCCACCTGCATTATCAGACCCACCCTCAAGGCAGCCTGACTCAGCAAAAAAAAAAAAAAAAAAAAAAAATCATTCTCAACTTTTGGGGCCAGGGAGATAGTTCAGTAGAATAAGTGCTTGCCTGGCAAGTGCAAGGGCCTGAGTTCAATCCCAGGTTCCGAAAAAAAGAAAAAAAAATTGTTTCTGAACACTGGTTGGGACACACTCTTGAGAATTTTTCTTTCTTTTTTGAGGCAGGGCCTATCTATGTAGCTCAGGCAGGGCTTCACCTTGTGGTAATCCTCCTGCCTCAGCCTTTTGAATGCTGAGATTACAGGTGTACACTACCACACCCAGCTGGTGGTGGGTTTTTATATGATGGCGGGCCTACCTTGTGTATTAGCCTCAGAAAGACCCTGAATTCTGCCACTAAGGACCAAATGCCCTGGGGTAAGTCCCCTTTCCTTTTCTTTTCTGTCCTTTTCTTACCTTTCCTTTTATTTCTTTTCTCTCCTCTTCCCTCCCCTTCTTTCCTTTACCTTTTTGCTTTCTTCTTCCTCCTCCCTTCTGTCTCTCTTTCTCTCTCTCCCTCCCCTCTTCCCCGGAGATTGAGCCCAGGGCCTTCACACAGACCTACATCCACAGACCTTTTTTAAATTTTATTTTGAGATCATGCCTAAGTCATTAAATTGCCCAGCCTGGGCTTGAATTTGCAATCCTCCTGCCTCAGCCTCCAAGAGCACTGGGATTACAGACCTGCGCCACTGCGGTCCAGCTCCTTCACCCTTGTAAATCTGCTTTCCTTGTCTGAAAAATGAGGCCCCTACCTTGGCAGAGTGTCAGAAAGATCAAGGAAGGTCCCGGGTATGAGGTCTCTAGTCCAGTGCCCTCCCCACCCCTCACGCTCTGCCCTTTCACAGTGTGGCCATCCTACTCTACCTGGTGAACAAGTACAGGGTCCCTGACTACTGGTACCCTCAGGACCCACAGGCCTGTGCGCGTGTGGATGAGTACCTGGCATGGCAGCACACGACCTTGAGGAGAAACTGCCTCCGGGCCCTGTGGCACAAGGTGAGGCTGGCAGTCGGGGGTAGGTAAGGCCCGCACCCCCAAGGGTCTCGGGCAATGCTGAGCTCTTTGCCATTTGGATCTTTGCTGTTTTCCTATCTTTCACCTTCCTGATGATTCTGTTGTGCTTGGAATGCTGTTAAGCCCATCGAATACATTCTTTGTATCCCATAGATACTTTGCGTTTCTAAAAATTCCTTTTGGCTCTTTTTGTAGCATTTCCATTTCTCTGCTGCAATACATCGTTTACCCATTTTGTTTATCTTAAATTTTTTTCTTAAAGTTATCAATGTTACTTAAAGCTCTTTGTTAGCAAATTTCAAGACTTGAGCCCTCTGTGGATGTTTGTAATTACTGTTTCCTCCTTTTATGACTCATATTTTCTCACTTCTTTACATGTTTCGTAAGTTATTTTTGTATGCCAGATATTATATATGAGTAGAGACTGAAGTATATATTAAATGTCCCCAGAAAGGGCTTTCAGAGTCCTTCATTACGCACCCAGGCTGTGGGGTTAACCTCTTCCCGTTCATGGGAAAGTGGGCTAGCTTGTGATTTTAGTTAGTTTTAGTACATCTCTGGCTTAAAATATAGATGATCCCTGATTTAATGACTATTGAACTTAATCCTTTTTCAATTTTATTGTGATAAATGTTGTGAAAATGATACAGATTCTGTAGAGGCTGGGTTTGAAGTTTGATCTTTTTGTGGCTACTAGTATGTCATATGATATTCTCTCATGGTCCTGGGAAGTGGTCATGAGCCATGTCTGTAGTGCACTCTGTTGCCGAGGTATGGTGTTTAGTAGATTAGCTATATGAAGAGCAGTTTTTACTCTAGAAAGGGGTCAATAAGGAGTTACCTTTTTTTTTTTTTTTTTTTTTGTGGTACCAGGGATTGAACTCAGGAACCTGTGCTTGCCAGTCAGGCACTTATTCTCCTGAGCTATCTCCCCAGCCCAGGAGTTACCATTTAATAGGTACAGAACTTCTACTTTACAAGATGAGGAGAGCTCTGGAAGGAGCTCTGGATGCTAGTGATGGTTGCGAAACAATGGTCATGTACTTCCACTATGTGTACTAAACCATACATGCTGAAATGCACACTGAAAGTTTCCAGTACCAAAAATGGAGTCATGTATGTCAAGCTCTAACAAAATAGAGTGAAGGGGGGGGCCTGGCCCTAGCTCAGTCCTTTAAGTGGCTGCTTCCACAAAGCTGTCAGCCTCAGGTTGCTGGAGTTCGAACCTCACAACTCTCCCGCTGGCCAAAAGGGCTGGTGAGATGGCTCAGTGGTCTAAAGCACCTACTTAGAACAAGCTTGAGCAAAACAAAGCACAGGGACCGCGGTTCAATCCCCCAGCACCACATGCCAGCCAGCCCCGCCCCCTGGTGGGCTGAGCTGGCCACGCACGCACGCACACGCACACACACACGCACACACATAAATAAATAAAAAATTTATCAAAAAAAAAAAAATAGAGTGAAGGAAGGCCAGGAAAAAGGAACCTTCAGGAATTCATGTCCACAACAGGACTCACCACGAGACATCCTACATGTGGCTTGGTAACAAACTTAAGGCCAGAACTTTCTTGGGACTTCAGTATTCAAAGCTGCCTGTAAATGTTCCTGGGCTTGTCAGCTTTCTGTCACTATAACAAACTATCTGAGTCAATCAACTTATAAAATGAAAAGACTTTTATCACAGGTCCATCACAAGTCTAGTCCTTGATCCTTCGGAGTACTGCTTGGGCCTGTGGTAAGGCAACACATCATGCTGGGAGTATATTTTACTTACTTTTTGGCAGAACCGGGGATTGAACTCAGGCCCTTGTGCTTGCCAGGCAAATGCTTATTCTACTGAGCCATCTCCCCGCCCCCTTATTTTATTTACTTTTGTGTGTGTGTTTTGGGCTTTTTGAGACAGTCTTGCTATGCAGTTGAGGCTGGCCTTAGCTCTCTCTGTAGCCCAGGCTGGCCTCAAACTCCTAATGATCCTCCTGCCTCAGTCTCCTGAGTGCCAGGATTGCAGGCGGGACCACCAGTGTCTGGCCTGTGGGAGTGTTTTACAGAGCAAAGCTGCTCACATCAAGGCTGGGAAGCAAAAGTTAAGAGCCTGAGGCCCAACAGTTCCCTCAAGGGCAACTTCCACCTCAGTGACCTAAAGACCTCCCATAAGTATCCACCTTCTAAAGGCATCAACTACCTCCCAGTAGCACCACACTGGGAACCAAGCTTTCAGCACATAAGGTTTTGGAGAACCTTTAAGATCCAACCTAGAGATGCCTGTTACGGTGGTGCATGCATGTTTTCCCAGCACTCGGCAGGCTGAGGCAGGAGGATTGCTGTGAGTTCAAGGCCAGCCTGGGCGATATAGTGAGATTCATCTCAAAAACGAAAAGAAAAACAAAAAATTAAGATCCAAACGATAGCAATTTCTCTTCCCCTCTGTCTCTCTGAATGTGCCTATGACTTGCCCTAAATTCTACTTCTCAGGCAGCAATTTCTGCCATTCTCAATAATTCTTTAAATCACTAATATCTTTGTTATGACATAAAGATATATATAACTGTAGAGAAACCACTGCACAGCTAGCCCCAACATAAAAAAAAAAAATTGGTTATAATTCAAGTTCACTTAGCTGTTTGACACATAAATTGGAAAGTATTTTCTCTGTAGAAAATAGTAAAATTGACAGTGTTTTCCCAGTTAGCCCAAAAGCCCATTTAAACCAAAAAGAAGCTGAATTACAGATTTATAAATATGGTTCAAGTTCTGGGATCCAGAAGAAACAATAGCTTTGTTTACCAAAACATCCATATTTTTCTTAAAATCAAGTTGTATACGATGAATTTACTATCAATCCTTCCCTTTTACTCTTTATACTTGATTGTTCAATTATGTCTCTATAAGCCATTTTTTCCTATTTAAAATTTGAAATGTTTTCATTGTTATTGAAGCATACCCAGTATTTGAGCAAAACCAGAATCTAATAAATTAGAGCCCACATGGCACATGTGGATAGGCTATTACCCGGCACTTTCCCCTAATTCCCTGTGGCTTCATGGGATGCCAGGAGGGACAGGAATAAAGCAATAAAACTGACAAGGAATAAAAGTCGAGAGAGCGCTAAGAGGGCAAGAGACTCCTAGACAGGATTCAAGGAAGTTCAGGTAGAAAAAGGGCGTTGCCTTAGGATCAGGTGCTGAGTGCACTCTCAGGGCCCTTTCTGTAAGGTGCTCAAAGTAATTGAATGAAAATGAGATGAACCGTGTAGTGTTAACTTTTCTTCACAGCTTGTCCCAAGATTCCCACAACCATAGACTTTTTATAAAAAGACCCCATGCAACCCACTAGAAGTTAACCTCTTGATAGTCCTGATACATTAAAATGTTGTCACATTCTTCAGCAATACAAGACTGCATGGGGCCGGGGAGATGGCTCAGTGGAATAAGTGCTTCTCTGGCAAGTGCAGGGGCCTGAGTTCATTCCCCGGTTCCGCCAAAAAAAAAAATAAAAATAAAATAAATAAAAATAAAAATAAAAAAAAAATACAAGACTGCACACCCTTACACACCCTCACTTCCTTCAATTCCTCCT